TGTTTTATTCAATATTACAAAGCAAATATTTTATCCTTGACATTTAGTATTAATTTAAGTTCTTTTTCAGACAGTATTATAATTATACACTAGGTTACTTTGCCATTGCTGTGGGTAATTTTAGCCTAACATGCATGTTTTTTTATGCTTTCCCTTTCTAACGTTTGATTGGTTAATTTCCCACACTACAAATTGTGTTGATAAGCACTACATTTGTTTTTAACCTCGTTACCTCATTAGATTCTCTCCTCCACTTGTAAAATTGGGAGTTTGTCTAAATACAGCGAGGTGGCCAACACACAGATGAGGACGGTTGGGTATTGAGCCTTCTGAGTTTCCCATTAAGAAGTTGTGTATATTGATGGTGAACCTTAAAGAGAAAATTGCGATGCATTGATTACTTTTCCCACAGCTAATGAAAGGGGACATTTGCTCTATTTAAGTAGATTTCCAGCCCTGCTCTGGTGGGAATTAGATTGCCTGACTACAATACTTCTCATTGCTCCAACGATGGAGCAGTCAGGTACCATGATCACCCTTGGTGGTGTTTATTTCAGTGATTTTTGCTTTTATTACAAAAACTTTGGTGATCCTATGTAGATTAAATACTCTAATTCTGAGCAGAGTAGAACAAATGATACATCCAAAAAAAGAAAATGGTTGGACTCAGATATTTTCAAATGTAAATATGTTCTCTGTTAATGTGATTGTCGCAGATCAGTTTTAAACATGGAAACTCTTAAAATAAATAAAACAGAAGTAAAACCCTGGACTTATCCAGCTTATATGAAGGAATGATGACTTGATTTTGAGTAATCTTCCTCTTGGCTTTTTCAGTACTTCAGCACTTGAACAGCAGCTCAGTGTAATACAAAACTAAGAGTTCAACGCCTGACTGACAACAAAATAAGAGCTTAATGCAGGATCAGCAACAAGTAGTCATGACTGCACAAGAAATGTTAAGTATTTAAAAATAAGTTTGATTAAGTAGAGTTTAGTAGTTTAGTGTGTAGTAGTGTGAGCTCACAGTTAACCACACACCTGTACACACAACAAAACATGCATCAGGGTTATTAAAATAACTCAACTGTAGTTTGAGTCGTTGACTCTTTTTAAGATTTAACCAAACTTGAGAAGTAAATGGAGAACAGCAATAAAAACACATTTGTAATCTAGATATGTACAGCAATCCCTTGATGGCATTGTAACTCTTCTCTCTGTATGTGTGAGACTTTGTTGCATTGTCTCTGTAAAATGTCCCAACTGTGTTATCTTAAACTAAACTTAAAAGTATATTCATCATGAACTGAGAGTACAGGTCTGACATGAACAAATTGGAGGAAATGTGGTGGATATTAAAGAATTTTGGTTTTCAAAAGAAGGAGAATTAGGTAGAAAAAAATTGTTTTTGTAAGACTTCATGTAACCTTTTGAAGGGTCTAAATACGTGTCAAACCTGAGGCCCACGAGCCAAATGTGGCCAGCCACTGTATTTTGTGGCCCATGAGACCTTCAAAAATATATTAATGTCTTAAAATAAGCATACGCTGCTTAAAGCCTGCATTGACCATGAACTCCATCTCCCTTACTGCATGTTGATTATTTTAGGTGGAGGTGCACAGGGTTCAAAAGTTGCCGTAAGCCCAGTGCACAATGTAGTGGTGGGATGCTATCATTTAAAAAAGGCAGCAACTCACCACAACTCAACAGTGAGTAAAAACTTTTACTTTTACTTTTAAATATTTCTGTATTAATCACATTTATTCAGTCGTACACACTGTATAAGAGGAAGTGTTAAAATGCTGTTTCTATGCACAAAATACCATGTAGAGCTCAGTTGTGTTTTAGCAATTCTTAGCTGGTAAATGGCTTGAACCTATATAACGATTTATCAAGTCGCTCAAATCGCATCAAAATGCTTTACGCTTCAATCATTATTAATAATAATAATAATAATAATAATAATAATTAACTTTATTTATAAAGCACTTTCAACAAAGTGCTGAACAGTTCAAAAAAGGTTAAAAAATAATAATAATAATAATAATAATAATAACTTTATTTATAAAGCACTTTCAACAAAGTGCTGAACAGTTTAAAAAAGGTAAAAAATCAATGTAAAAGAAGTTGTAAGAACAAGTAAAACATTGGGGGAAAAAAAGATAAAATACAAATGTAAAATTTAAGACACATAAGACAAAGTGTACAGGTGGGTCTTTATTAAAAACTTCCACTGAGCAGGCCAGCCTGATGTCTTGAGGGAAATCAGTCCACAATAAAGGGGCACGAAAGAAAAAARCACGACCTCCAGTAGTTTTAGTCTGACCTTAGGGATTACCAAGAGACCAGTGCCCTGAGATCGGAGAGCACGAGATGGAATGTAAGGGTGGAGAAGGTCTGAAAGGTAGGGAGGCGCTAGGCCATTCACACATTCACACACTGATGGTGGTAAGCTGCAGCCACAGTTGCCCTCGGTGAAAATGAGTTTGACACCCTTTGTCTAAAGTGACATAATGGTTACAGCTGAGCTACGTACTGTAGCTTGTAAAAGATCTGTGAAATTGTTGTGGGGATTGTCCATCCATTCATTTTCTTTACTCCCTTTTTCTTTCCGGGTCGCGAGAAGCTGGTGTCTATCTCCGGTACAGTCACTGTGTAAGAGGCGGGGTACATCATGGACAAATAGTCCATCACAGAGACACACAACCATTCATTCACACTCTCACTTACACCTAGAGACATTTTAGTTTCTAATTAATCTAACATACATTTTGTTGGTGCCCAAAGAGCATTGTCTYGATTCTCTAATCTTTTTGTGACCAAAGACTGGTACTAGAACTTGATTTTGAACCAAAATTTGAAACCACTCGTAATCCTTGACAGACAGGGKTTTTTTTTTCCAGCCTTTGGATGGGCATCCCCTCCTCAGAAAGGGCAGCCTCCTCACTTGAAATACTTCTTGCTACATTTAACTGTAATGTAAATGTTACTGGGTTATCCACACAAACCCAGCAGCTGACATCTGTGAAGCCAAGCAGAAAGCGTAGTTTGTTTCTCCAACCTTGTGCACTGAAATATTCAAGAGTTCCCTGCTTATGAGACGGTTGCTGCCATCTGTGCCCCCGAGTTCAGTCCTCCTATCATGGCTGAGCATAAGGCCAACCTCAGAACAGATATGTGYGAAAAGTGTCAAAAAAGATTCTCTGCTCGACTCTGTATGGCAAATCTCAATATTGCCTGAATGGCATAAACAATGCTTTTCTTTTTGCTTAAACACACGCACAAAAAGGGGGCCCACACGAAATTCTGCACCTGTGGAATTAAAATTTCCATATCCATGAGAGAGGAAAGGAAAAGAGGAAACATTTACACAAGACTGCCTGCACACATTTGAAGCAATCCTTTTCTGTTAGGTGTCTTACAATGTCATTGTGGAGCAAGCAAGCTCCTGTGGGCTTCACAAATTTCTTGCTAAATGAGAGATTTTTCTTTTCTTTTTTCTTCTTCTTCTTTCTTTCTTCCAAGACAAAGGGGGAAAAAAAGCGGAGGAGGAAGGGTGCAATCAGTCCAGGTTTGTTCTAGACAGCATCACTTCCTTCCTTACCATCAGGAGAGTGTCAGAGCGAGACATTCAAATGTAGTTTTCACCCAGCACTTTCCCAGGACACTAATGCAGAGCAATTCTAATGGTGTCATTCAAAGCAGCTGCCTTTCTCAGCAATAAACTGAACGCCTTGCCTAAGCAATTCAAACCGCCTCCAAAGATTGCAATACAGTCAACAAAGAACTTATCTTTGAAGTGAAACTGTTCATCAATGAATGTGTTTGTATGCCAAAAAAAAAATAAAAAATAAGAAGGGAGATTGAAAAGAACTCAGCTACACCTGAATGGCTACTTTTACCATTCGACTGCTGTCACTGTCTCCCATTTGTACGTATCTGTTGTGCCCGTTCGATTCCACCCTCAAACGACTATTTGAAGTACTCATGGGCGAGCTGGAAAAAAGCCAAACTGTAAAAATCTGTTTTTGAAATGAGCAGCAGTGGCTTGTTTTTTTTTGTTTTTTTTTGTTTTTTGTTTTTTTTTTAGTGAGAAGGGGAAAACTTTGTTTTGATGGGTCAAAAGCCCAGCAAAACGAAGAGCGCTGTTCATTTTCTTCACAGAGAAAGGGGTCATTAGTCCATGACAGATGTCAAAGAAGCAAAAATAGTTGCTTTATCACTCATCTTCAAAAGGCCCCACTCCGAATGTGACGAAAAGCACAAAGAGCTTCAGAATTCTGTTTGTAAGGTACTTTGTACAATACCACAATTACTCTGGCCGAGGAAATTGTGTTTTTAAGGAAGCTTGTTGGGGAATGTGAACAACAGCAAACTGCAAGTTCAACTCTTTATAAAGGAAATCTGGTCACTTCAATGGATCAATGTTTTGGAGGGAGTTTAAAAAGAGCCAACAGTTTGGCAGGAAAACGAGTAAAAAAGGAATCTTTAGAAATAGATTTTGAATGGAAATAAGCATTAATTTGACCCAATCACTTTATCTTTTCATTTACACAATAACCCTACAACACGACCCTAAAGAATCAGGCCAAGAAGTGAACTTCAGAGGGGTGTTTTGAGCCTGCAGGAATTTCTGATTTTTGGACAGAGAGAGTCAGAAGACAGCACAGGAATGTGTGCGTGTGTAAATTTGTAAACCGTTCTCTACGGAAGGGAGGGGGGTCGTCCTTCAGTGAACTGGGCCTGTGTTGTTCGGGCCCGTGTTTACACAGCCCTCTTGTATGTGTTGGAGGGGAGAACAATGCCACAGACGATGCTAAAATAGTACCACAAAATGACAGTGTCGGCAAAAGTCGACCAAAGAAAAAAGAGGGATGAATTGTCGCCAAAAACTTTAAGTTGGGTAGAATAAAGCTGTAAAAGGCTGGAGGGGCTGGACAGAGAGGCCAGGCTGCGTGTTTTTCAGAACAGATTAAAGATCAGGACAGGAAGGGCCAGGTTGAGGGAAACAGGAAAACTGATGCAAGGAAGTGGTGTACGTCACCAGCCAGCCCACTGCAGTCTGAGCTGAAAGTATGATCCAGACCTGAAGAAAGTATGGAGTCTTTGCTCAAGTCACCGATGAAACTTGTACTTTTTACAGGTACGTCAACTTGTGTACTTTATGGCCGAGCAGGTGTTTTATAAGTTCACTTAAAATATATTTTTATTTATAAGCTTCCAGGTTATCTATAAATAGTTAAAGATTGTGTCTCCTTAAACTTGATTTTTTTTTAAGTTAACATTTTTTCATGTAGCGTTATGAGCAGTCGTAGGCACAGTTCCCCTAAAGTACTAAAGCACTAATAGGGGAACTAATTTCCTGATTAGTGCTTTAGAGCTTTTGCTAATTTTAGAATTTATTAGTGGATTAGCACTTGCTAAATTTATAGGCTAACTTTAGAAGCACTAACTGAGGTCTATAAATGTAATTGATCAACGTTAATGTTAACAGCTGACGGTGAGAGCTGTTGTACATTTTGTTCATGTGTCACTTAACAACTGACAGTATATGAACTCAAATCCAGCTGTGGAATGTCAATGATAAGTCTTAAGAGACAAAATGGCAATATGTGACTCATGTCTGTTGAAAAATGTTCATGGGTTGATTTGGGTTATTTTAGTGCTTTAGAATTAGCTTTTGCTAAATCTTCAGTGTGTTAGTGCTTTAGAGTTAGGGGACCTAAATATGTGAGTCAGCGTTTTAGGGCTAGTGGAACTAATTTTTAGATTATGCTGCCCACCACCGGTTATGAGCTTCAACACTTTTGATGAATTATAAAAAAGAAAAGCCCATCTGCAACACAAGAATGTTCCTAATAAGTGTAAGTTAAATGTTAAAATGTGTTTGTTTGTTTTTTTCTTGCAGCATGGTTCTGGAGTCTGTTGGACACCGGCTGCCTCTCTATTTGTGACACTTGCCACCAAAATGCAACATGTAAAGTCATGAATGGATCGAACAGCGGCTGCTTCTGTAACCATGGATATACAGGAGATGGGAAACATTTCTGCAAGGGTACATACAGATACACAAATACACCTGCTGTCGCTGAGCATTGCTTGTGGAAAAACCTACTCTATATTTGGAAGTTATTAGGTCTGATTTGCATAGAAGTCATTTTTGTGTTCACATGTTGATTCAAGTGCTTTACATTGCTCCTGATATGGTAAAGCGTCTAAAGAGGAAAAGTCAAACTCAGTCCGAGGTTATTTGCAGAAATAGTCACATTACATATATTTGTTTTAAAGTACAAACAAGTTAACACTGTTTTTGTTGATGTACAAGAAAATTTTCAATCATTTTTGTCTTTAAAAAACACAATGAACTCATCATAGGTTTAAAATCACTTATATCAGAAATAAATGGTGATTTTCACTCTTAAATTCACGTTTTGAACTGTAAATAGTGGTCAAGTTGGTTGAAATATATATTTTTTGGTAATAACAGGTCATTGTGCATATAAAAATTTCTGTTTGGTGAAAAGAAATCTCTAGAATGTACAAACAAGATATTAATGGTTTGCGTTGCCTTTTGGTTGACATTGTTCTTCCTGTTATGTTTCTGGGCTGCTTGGATATCCTGGAGCTTTTGTCCCCCTTCGTGTGTGTGTGTGTGTGTGTGTGTGTGTGTGTGTGTGTGTGTGTGTGTGTGTGTGTGTGTGTGTGTGTGTGTGTGTGTG